GATAAACTAAAAATTGCAGAGTTTTAATAGTTCTTTGTTAGATCTTTGTCTAGTGCCAACTAAGATTACTTTAGATTCCAAAGTTAATATTAAGCACATTTAAGGGCATGTTGCTTTGTAATAATCAAATGTTTTCAGTAGAAGGGATAAATAATTCTTCTAATGAAGTTGTAAAATCTTGATAAATCTTATTCTAGTTATTAATTTGATTTGTTCAATTTTTGTATTAAAGCCAGAAATGAATTCTATTAAATATTGTTGGTATCTTGATGAGTGAAACATTATTGAAAGCACTAAGATCATAATTTGTAATGTTTTCTAGTCAGGAAAATTTTTGTATTGGAGCTCTTTTAATATGCCTTGTTATGTGGTTGTCTCTTCATTTAATTTATGACAACAGTGATTTTCTTCCCATTCATCTTCCCATTTCACCCCCAACCTAATTTATGCATTCTGTGATTTCTGTACGAGTGTGTGTAGTTTTAATTGATCTGAATATTTAAATAGATAAACAGAATTGGGGAAGGGAGATGGTTGCTTGAGTTACTTCTATAATATAGAGTTTTTGCCATATTCATTATTGCATATTTTCTAAATAGAAGTAACAACATAATTGGAATGCAAGATGGCATTGCAAAATAGAATCTGTATATATAGGGAAGCTAATTCTTTTGTTATCTGTAAATCTTCTCCTAAAATGCTTACCTAAGCTGTTCTTTTTTCCATTGAACGTCACCTATTCCTGCCTGTCTCTTCACACAGAAACATTCTGAGTAGGCAAATTCATAGATGATATTTGGATTACTATTAGATAGACAGAAACACAAAGTAAACTTTGGTCAAGAAATAAGTTTTGGGGCTTCTTTTTTGCCACTGGGAAAAAGGCAAGAGAGTTCAAAGAAAGTGTGAGTAGGGAGATGATCTTGAAGAAGACATTCAACAGCCATTCATAAATTAACCTGAAGACAGGAGTGAGCAGGAAAGAAATTCAAGATTGCCTTGCCTTGATTTTCTTTGATATAAGAAGGAATCTCTAATCATAATTTTAAGATTCTATTATTATTCCTTGTAATATTCTAGTAGCCCTAGTGGAGGCCTTAGGACGCCTAGGGCAGGCAGGCCTGGACCTACGCTAGGTCTCCCAGGGCCTTCCTCAACTTGAGGCACCTCGAGCTCAGCTTAATGACTTGTGTGTTTAGCGGCCTCATCAGGGAGAGCAGCGGGTGTGCATTGTCAAAGCAAGGCCATCTCAACAGCTGTCACAACCCATAATGAACAGACTCCATGGCAGTCCTATGATGAGGACATGTGTAGAATCACATTTACGCATGTGATTCATACATTATACCAGGCCTTGAAATTCCACTTTTTAAAGTTTTGGTTTTTTAACAAGCAGTGGCCTCATATTATGTTTCTCATTTATTACCTTTTAAGCAAATAGAAATACTACATTATTATAAAGATAGGCTTTGCATTTTGAAATTCTTACAGAGATTTCATGTAAGAAGGAAAATAGAAAAGTGCTGTAGATGATGTTGATTCTTGTAGCCATTGTTTTATTTAACAGAGACATTTTATGGAGCTCTCTTGAACTGTGAGAAAATAAATTTGCCGTAACAAAACATTACTTATATTTTTTACTATGCTTTAGTCTTATTAAGCACAGGACAACAATTAAGTGAGAGGCAACTATCCTTGTAAGAGCAGTTTTTGAATAGGATTTTTTTTTCATTTTTTTGTATAATTTTGAGGCACTATTAGTAGGATATATTTCATAGAAATAGTGCACGTTTTAAGGAAAGTCTCTGGGGTACTAAAGTATGTCATTTATAGAATGACAGAATAGCTTCTGATGCAGAGAAAGTGGATCATAATTTTTGTCTTTGATTGCCACAGGTTTTTTTTTACAACTCAATATGGAAGATGACCTGCAAATTATGATTTGACTGAATGGCATATTTTATGCAGTGTTTGATAAGTAAATTGAATAGTATTGTCCTTGATTTTTTTGGTCCTCTTAACAACTCAATATGAAAAAGCCTAAAAAGTAATGCCTGTATATTCAAGCAATATTTTTTGAAAGAAAGCTTGTATTCTACCAGTATCTCCTGATACTAGTGATTGATGAGTGGAAACTAAATGTTTCTTACTTGTCATTAAAAGGACATAGAAAAATAGTATGTCAGTTGATCATTTTACATGGATATCAAGTTGACAGTTGCTTTGTTGGAGAAACATATGCCAGAACTATGTGGTAAAACACATATTAAAAGTCCCAAGGTCAACTCATGTCGTTGGTCAGGAATGACTCATTTCTGAAAATCTAGGAAACTATTGCTAATCTGTGCATAGACACTTTTTCAACCAGATAGCCCCAAGATACAGTAGACCATGCCCATACATCCAGCATTAGTAAAATGAGATGGGTTCTAATCCAGCAGACCTGGAAATCAGCAAATCAGAAAGATTGGCAGGATTAATAATGAGCTTCTGGACCTGTAGTCTGATTCAGTAGAAATAGTTTCCTATGTGACTTTAGAACAGCGAGAAATCATTAATGAATAGCTTGTAAAAATAAAATACACTGGCTGGAATGTTCTACTATTATATTTAATGTTAAAGCCCACAGACAACTTTTGAAAGCCATTATTGTATCATTCTTTAATATTTTTTAACTTCTAATAAGACAACATGTGGCATTTTATTGGCAAAAGTGAGATAGTGAGATGTTGGCATTATTTGCCAGAATTTAGTGTGCTGTGTTAAACTCGAATGTCTAAAAATCTCAAACAGGTGACTCAGAATGTTAACAATGTATCAGCATTACCCAGGTTGGTGCCCTAAATCAGTGTTTTTCAACCTTTTTTGTGCAAAGGCACACTTTTTTCATGAAAAAA